ATCTAGCAAATGCATAGGGCGAGAAGGCTAATGCGTAACCGATGAAGCCTCCAGCTAGCCGGAGATGCCCTCAGTCGTCGGCGCAATTAGGCAGCGGGTGTCACCGGTGAAAGCGGAGGACCCACTCTATTCTGCTGCTACCTTCGTTCATGGAGACTATCAAGGCTGTTGTTGCTGCTTGGGTGAGTTGGGTCGTGAGGAAAGTTTTCAAGTGGCCATTAATGGCGAACCTCCGAGGTTGAGCTCTCACAGCCGAAGGAAATGACTAGGAAGAGATGGTAATCGTGGCCTAGGCTTTCCTTCAGAATTGTTTTTGTTGGATTTTCTGTAAATGCCTAAATGCGCAGTTTATATCCTGGGATCGGCGCACCATGAGCATGGTGCACCCGATCCCAAAACGACGCAGCATTCATTTTTTTTATTTGTTTTATTGTTAAAAATTGTAATAATTTTTTTATTTGATATCTGATTTTTATAAATTTTATATCAATTTTTTATTTTATTTTTCATGATCTATCAAATGAGACCAATATTGCTTATGTAATTTTAACAAATTATTTTGAAGTTACATTTGATAATATATCATGAAGTTACATCTTCTTCTGCGCGAGTTACATCTTATTGTACGCGAGTTACATCTTAATATACACGAGTTACATCTTAATGTATGTGAGTTACACCATGAAATAAACTCCTGCTACATCTTTCATTTTTATCATTTGAAAAATAGTGTATGAATATGAAATACAATATACTTATTTTATGTGGATTAATAAAATTTTGTATTAAATTGGCAAAGAAAAAAATTAATTCAGTTATAATTGAATTAGTTCAAGATAAAGATAAGTAAAACATCACAAATAATTAGATATAACTCACTCATAATTACATGTAACTCGCGCATAAATATATGTAACTCGTGTATAACAAGATGTAACTCACACATAATTACATGTAACTCTCGCATAAAAGTATGTAACTCGTGTATAGTAAGATGTAACTCACACATAAGAAAATGTAACTCACACATAATAACTTGTAACTGGAGTATAAGATGATGTAACTTCGTATATTATCAAATGTAACTCCAAGCTAGAAGCAAAATAAACAAACTCAATATCTTAAAAACCTCTAAAATCATATAAAAGTGATAAAAAAATATATTATAGAAAAAGTGTATGCATATAAAAATATATTACAAAAAATGTATGAATGTAAAAAATTAAAATTACATAGGCAATATTGGTCTCATTTGAAAGATCATGAAAAATAAAAAATTTTGATATAATTTTTATAAAAATCAGATCAAAAATAAAAAAATTATTAACAATTTTAAGAAAAGGAGAAATAGAAAATAACAAAGGGTGCATATTGCTCACCATGCACCGATCCCACGGTATAAGCACTGGCCTAAATGTGATGAATTTTTGAATTAAAAAATGGAGGAAAGGATTGAGAAAATGGGAATGAGGAAGAAGGGATAGGCAGATGGGTGAAAAGATATGGCAGAAGAACTTGAGGCGCTGATGAGTTTAGTACCGAATATGGAGTATTACTTTATTGGATTTAAGGGTACTATAGTCATTATGGGTATTTCTTATTACTAAAAAAAGGTAACACTGTAATTACTTTGAAACTACCGAAAAGGAAAGTGTTGCGATTAAAAAAGAACAGAGGGAGTATATTTCAAAAGTATCATAAGACATTATACTATTATATTGAAATTAATAAGAGTGTATTATAGATATAATTTAATAATTTCCTATAAAAGAAAAAATAAGAATAAGAAAAAAAATAGAAGATATGAAGCAGGGATCGTGAAACTCATTGTTAGCCTCTTACATACTCAAAAAGATAGGTCAGATGCTCATTACAATTACATTATTGCTCATTTAGCGGAAGCCGTGAATTTTCGCGTAAATTACAAATATGACACCGAATTTTTTTTTTGACCTGTATTAATGATTGAGTCGTCTTTCTTACTTGGGTCGGGTGTACGTACACCCGGATGCACTATATACGAACTGATACTTTTTCCTTTTTTATACTACCTCCGTTCCTATTTTATCTTCCAACCCACTTTGGCACACAATTTAAGAAAAATGGGTATTGTGTGGTGGAGAGTTGTGCAGAGGAGAGAGAAATGTGTAAGAAATGTTGTGAACCACAAATTCTTTACCAAAAAGAGAAAGTGGAAATTTAATTGGAACAGACGAAAAAGGAAAGTTGGAAGTTTATTTAGGAGCGGAGGGAGTATAATACATAGTGCATACTAAATCTTTAAGTTAAATATGTCACACTTAAATAAATCGGATTAGAGTTAAATTCTAATAAACTGAACATTACTAGACGATATTTAAAATTATAAGAGACTTTTAAGTAAAAAGAGACTTCTATTTAAATAAATAAAAACAAGAGGCTTTTAAGTGAAACATCCCATATCATTGTTATGTGAACACCGGTGGCCTGGGTAGGTTTCACATGTTGCCATGTTGGTGTGCAACTGTACACATTTCGGTGTACAAACGTTAATCGATGTAACAGTAAAGACCAAAAGTGAAAAAGAAATTGTCGTAATCTGGCAGGATTGCCTTATAGATTTACTTTCATGGAATCTTGTTTGCTTTAGCTTTATGGATTTTTGGAAGTATGTTTTGTAGAAATTTAAGAGCCGGTTTCACTACAAAAAAATTCGCCTGTAGTCACGGATTTAATCACGGATCGTAGTGTAAAAAGTCCGTGACTAACACTTTTAGTCACGGACTTCGTCCGTGACTAGTTCAGTGACTAATTCTGCGTGACTAGAATGTAGTCACGGACAAGTGGCCGTGACTAGGTGTAGTCACGGATTAGTCACGGAAAAATGATATGAGATGGGTAGATTACATCCGCTGCATATATAAATTTTGTAGTCACGGACGTAGTCACGGATGTGTCCGTGACTACAGTTTTTTGCACTTTTAATTTGGAACGTTGAAAAAATCAATTATTCACTTGTCACGGATTTAGTCACGGACTTGTCCGTGACTAATTTCAAATTTAAAAAAATCCCGCCGGAAGCGAAAATGGGTTGGCCGGAACACTTTAGTCACGGACTAGGTCCATCACTACCTCTAGTCACGGACTAAATCCGTGACTACGTGATTAGAACCGTGACTAACTAGTCACGGACCAAATCCGTGACTACGGTCCGTGACTACAGGCGAATTTTTTTGTAGTGTTTGCTAATACAAAAATCGCCTAATTCGGTTGATTCTGTTGAAATTTAAGAAGTTTTGGGTGAAATGGCTGTATTGAGTGATTCTTTTGATTTAAGTAAAAATTATTTTTAAAATATATTTTTAGTAACAAAATAATTAAAAAATTATACTAGTAACTTGGTCATCTACAGTAACTTCAGCCGATAGAACTTATTATTAACTCCAATCTTATTTTTTTCTTATTATTAAACTAGTACCATTCAGCGTTCGAAAATAAAAGTTACATGTTTGGTGAAAAAGTTGGCTGATAAGCTTAATAAGTCGAAAATCAGTCTTAACAAAATCCTCTAACTGGTTTTGATCGTACACGTATATGAGCTGGTCAAGTTTACTGCAAATTGCGCGAGAAACATTAAAAGCAATAAACATTATTTTCAATTTCTAAGTAACTTTTGACATTTTTGAAGGTTTAAAGCGAACGGTTTCTTTCGGCACTTTTAGTTTAAAAGTAACATAGTTTGAAGCTTTGAATTGGGTCTGCCGAAGATTATGGGATGCAGAATCATGCGTAATTATGAATATTTGAACTCGGGGGATTTTGAAGAATACACAAATAGAACTTAATGAATAATAAAAATGTCAATTAGAAGATTTAGATATTCAAATGTAGAATCTGGTTGCTCAAATGTTTTTCTATTTGAAGTATCCCATAATGTTTTTTTTATTAAGCTTCGATGTTTCATTTTAAATGTCAATCTTTAGTATGCATTAATTTCGTATATTATTCAGAATTTTATACCTACAAATATTCAACACTCATACTTAACAAAATAATTGTTTACACTTTATCATATACTATATGTGTACACCTAGTATTTTTCGGAGTATTATACTCCCTCCGTCCCCCTAACTTTGTCCTGTTTTACCTTTTTCGTCCGTCTCTTTAAGTTTGTTTCATACCATATTTGCTAATATTTGAGTGGTTAGAATTCATTCTTACTTTATTCACACTTTATCAATTCAATATCAACCACACAATTCTATTTTTTCTTAAAAACCACATCACACCCTTTTGTCCCAAACTTAGGGGGAGGGAGGTAGTACTTCATAGGTGTGGACCCATACTAGCTTACTCCATATTACTTATGGAGTATTAATTTTTGTCATTGTTAATTGCCTATGTGGAAAACAATGATACAGTATGTTTGACACAACTAGTTAAAAAGATATGTTAATGAGTTTTTTAGTAACTGCTAGTTTTTTCGTGACTGAAAAGATCTTAAAAGAAAAAGGTAATAATTGTTTGATAAATAGCTAATTGTTTGATTTTGTTATGTTTGATATATAAGTTGTTGAGACTAATTAATGCTAAAAGCTACAGACGGAAAATATCTTTTACGTAGTATTTTTTAAAAAGTTCTTAAAATTGGCACGTCAAATATACAACTAAAAGATTTTAAAGACTTTTTAAATATATAAAATCTAGAAGACAGAGACTTATGTCTGCCAAACATGCACTTAATCTAACTGATCCATGCACTTGAATTGGTTTCAATTTCAAACCAGATCAATCTGATCAGATTGAAACTTAATAGGTCAAAACATTTGAATCTAAACAAAAGGATCATTTTATTACCCAAAGACATTTTAGCATGTGGTGACATATCTTGATGATGTCCTAGTAACATTAGTGTGAAAGGGAAAAAGGTAATGAAATAGTTCCTGAGTACATTGCGGCCAACCTCCCCCGCATTTTTTGTATAAGTACTCACATTTAAACACACAACATAAGAGTCAATCTGGTGGGTTAATTTGAGAGATGGAAAACTTTAAGGTTTGTGCTTCCGGTGTGGTTTTCTCTTTGTTTCTTTCTTATCAATTTCCCGATCACTTTGGAGTTGGGGCAGAAAATGTTGAAACATTCTTAAATGGATCACAACCTTGCGGTTTTGTTGATGTTAGACCAGGTAATTATTAGTTCACCAATTATTAAATTAAATATCTTAATTTGCTTTACATTTTTCCTTTTATTTTTGTCATTATATATATTCACATCCATAATGCTTGATTTTTTGGTAATATAAATCCCCTTTTGGTTGTGTCTTGTGGGTATGGAATGCACAGGTGCACACATGTTTTGGTGGCTGCAAAAAAGTCCATTCAGAGTCAACGACCCAAACAAGCCATGGCCAATTATTCTTTGGTTGCACGGTGGACCAGTGAGTGGTTCTTCCGTCAGTTACACCTGGACTTTTTTCTCCACAGAACATTGTACTTATGAATTGATTATTATTGTTTAATTTTGAGAGGAAGGTAGTAAAATATTTTCCAACCAGCAAAAATATTTTTAACCCCCAAAAAAGAGAGTGAATTGACTATTAACTCCTAGTATTATTACAAAATAATAAATCTTGAGAAATAATGGTTTGCCTGGTTGGTGCCTTAACATTATATTTATAATAAACAAAAATTATGAAAATTACACATAAGTCTCGAGATAATACATTATTATTATTGACATAAACAAAACTAAAATAACTTAATAACGATTAAGCTTGGTTATATTTTTATATATGTAGACACTGGTGCAATATTATATTATTGCCTGTTTAATTAGTACAATAGTACGTCACGAAAGTTATAGAACGTATACTACAATTTTTCCCGTGGCTAAAGCTTAGCTTCTCTTTAAAAATGACATGGTTTTTAAGCAATAATTATATCCGGTTAGTTAGTGAAATATATTTGTAGTTGTTATATTTTTAAAACTTAATGTTGTCATTTAAGAGTGTTAATTAATTTTTAAATTAGAAATGAGAATTAGTTGGGACGCCCAAAAGAGGCCAGTAAAAAGAATTAGTTGGGATAAAGGGAGGAGTGTATATAAGCTGCTACATGTCCTTTGCTTGTATGAAAATTATTGGAATGAGTATTATGTTATTCTAAAATTAATATAGTAATTAAAAGGAATGAAAATCAACGTAACTTTATAAAATAAACACAATAAAAGCAACATATATATATATATATATATATATATATATATATATATATATATATATATATATATATATATATATATATATGCAGATATCAATTTTTTTATCCTACTAGATTTTCATCCCTAAGGTTGGGGTAGAAGTTAGGTGACATTCTACCAATTTAATGAAAGAAGGAGACATATTACATATATACGTTGGTTGTATGATATATGTACTGATTGACTTGTATATATACTGCTTGAATTAGGGAGCTTCAGGAACGGGAATTGGCAACTTTTTAGAGATTGGACCTTTTGATGCCAATCTGAGGCCAAGAAATTCAACTTGGTTGAAAAAAGCTGATCTACTATTTGTGGTAGGTTCCCAAACCTCAATTTTCAATACGTAAGAGACAGAGAAAAAAAAATCTAATTGACATAATGTATTTTTTCCCAAGAAGCACTTAATTTCATCCTCCATATTTAACAATTAGAGATACTTTTTTGGCAGGATTCTCCAGTTGGAGTTGGATATAGTTATGTTGATGACATTGGACTATTGACCAAGAATGATTCACAAGCAGTATCGGACTTGACCACTTTATTGATAGAAGTTTTCAAGAGTAACGTGACTAATTTAGAAAATAGGACCTTGTACATAATAGGAGAGTCTTATGGAGCAAGGTTAGCTGTTTCTCTTGGATTGTCAGTTCTTAATGCAACTCAGACGAAAAGGTTGCCGCTCAAACTCGGGGGTACGTAAATGATCTAACTACCTGAGATCAACTAGAATTTGAATATCAAACAAAATGACCAAATTATATATACTTTTGTGCAGGAGTGACATTAGGTAGTAGTTGGATCTCGCCCGAAGATCACGTGGTTTGTGATACTTCGTCCAATTTTGATTGTCTTACTTTTTTATGGGTTATGTCAAAATGAATGTTCAATTTTCTTTTTTACAAGAAATATGTGATTCGTATAATTTCACGAACAATTTTACTTTTCAATCACTTTCGTAATAATTTTGTGAAACTAAAACAAGGCATTCAATATAGGAAATAAGTAGTATAAGATCTCAATTTATTTATTTTTAAAAAGATTGATAATATTAGATATTAGGATTTTTGTATTGGAGCCAAGGTCAGTCTATATGGTACTTTTAAGTTTTAAGTTTGAATAGGATGTTGTTGATGTAATGAATTATAAACTAATTATAACTCCAGGTGGAAGCACAGTAAAATATAAACCTAATGAAAAATATGTATGTACTTGATTGCAACGTTGCAGCCATATTCCGAGAAATTTCTTTTCAAAAAGTTTATAAAGTTTATATGAGAAATTCAAAGGGAACTTTTTCATTTTGACTGATTGGCATAAAAATGGCCAAAAAAGACATATTCATCAAGAGTAGTTGTACATTGTTTGACAAGGTCAAACAACTACAATGAGTAAATGTAAATAAATCAAACACTGTGTTGCTTTTAGAATAATGTGTATTAAGAGTTTAATATTATCAAATACTTTGTGATCCGATGATATCACTGTGTCATTCCTAAGGAGGTTACAAGTTTAAATCTCATCCCAGTTCAAGGATTTTGGTCTTAACATTGAACAAATAATATAATACGCTATGAAGCATTGTCAAAACAAAAAATTAATACAGTACCACCTATGTCCGAGATGATGTATTTACCAACAGTAAACCGGTCATTGTTAATTTTAAAATAGTAACCAACAAACTAATGACCAGTTGATTATTTGCAATTTCATTAATGATATTTGTGATTGAAAGTTAAAAAACAACATTTTTGCTAAATAAGCTACACATAGTAGTATTTGAAGTAAAATCTCTTGAAAGAAATTAACACCCTACATTAATTACCTTATCACAGCTTTCATGGGGGCCTCTGCTGCAAACTTTCTCAAGAATTGATGAAATTGGCCTGGAACAAGTGAACATGTACATTTCTGATCTGAAACCTCTCTAATAATCCCATTGTTCAAACTCTGAAAAAGCCATGTGTTATCTGCTAATTAATGAAACTTATAACAAAGCAGTGTGGCTAAGCAAATGACGCAGAACATTTCTGAAGAAAACTTTTCAGGGGCAGCTGACTTATATATGCCACTTCAAGGAGTCATACGCGACTACAGCAACGCAGTGGTAGTACATATGTTCCCATAATTTTATAAAAAATAATGTTTGTACACACTCTTATACTCACTTTTGTACCCGCCCATATTTTTGAAAACATTTTTTTTTGTTACAATGAGAAAAAACTTATAACAAACCGGGTTCGCAGACAAAAAAAAAGTTTCGCAAACATGGTGGGTATAAGGGTGGGTACATCAAGCATTGTTGTACTTTTATTTGATAAGAACATACAAACCTCTTCTATAAGTGTCCCTTGGAATGCTAATACTCTCCACTCCTTAAAATTTTGTCAAATTTGATCGGTACGAAGATTAATAAAGTAAAAACTATGCGGTTGAATTTTGTGTAGAAGAGAGAGAATTATTTAGAACCACAAATTCTATATTAAAAAGGAAAAGTGACAAAGTTAATGGAATAACCAAAAAAGAAAAATTGACAAAGCTTTAAGGGACGGAGAAAGTACTTTATTTTATAAAGTTTTTTTACTGTTAGGACCGTCTAATCAACTTTATGGGTCCTACTTTAAACGGTGAATTTAGGCCCCATAATATATTACTATGAGCAAATCCTATATTAATAAAAAAAAAAGTCATGGACAAAAAAATGTGATATAATAATAATTAGTGATCATAAAGTTTACAAATATAGTCACTAATACTTACTAAGTCATAACTTTGTGTATCACTTTTTAAAGAGTAATATTAGTAGATTTTTTCTACTTTTCTTCATTGAAATGAATCAAATATGGGATGGACCTGAATGTTCATCTTGATCAACTCTCTTTTTTGTATGATATGTAGTACTACGTATATGATATATATTCTTATCCATTAAGCCATTGAGGGTTGCTTAGCTTGTAAATCCAAAAATGCAAGGGGAACTTGAGATGAAGTTTATGAGTTAGGAGGATAGAAATGATTCCAAACTCATTTTGTTAATCTTGCCTTTTCATTTAGACTATGAACTTTAAAGTACTTAGAGTCTTACTTTGTTATTTAAATTTGATTTTTTCTATCTACTATATCCAAGAGGAAAACCAAACATTAATAAAAATGGTTTTCAATCTTGCTTTCTTATCCACGCCATCAGGTCCGATTTTGTGGGGATTCAATAGGTTATCCAGAACAGGGCCAACAAATTTATGGGCCCCAAAACTTTAAAACATTTATTAGTATTATATAATAATAATGTACTACATATATTAATATTAATATGTAAAATACAGCTAGTAAGAAGAAAAATATAGATGTATCATTTTTTCGTTGGTTATTTTAGTTTTCTTTTACTCAAATTGCTTGAATAATGAGTTGAGTTGCTTTAAATGAAGTATTAAGTATGTTTTAGAATTTTTTTATTACATTATTTAATATTTAGTGAGTATTCAATTGATTTAAGTTTAAATATTTGGATTGAGATATTTTACTTTTTATATTAATTTGAGGCCTTAATTTTACATTTCAAATCGTGACCTCCTAATTTATTAGACGGCTCTATGTGCCATTTTGTTAGTCGTGCCGTTTTTCTATCTATAATACAGAGTACAAGCAAGTGAAATTAATTTAATTTGCAGGACACATATAACTTGTTGCGAGATTCCATGGACTCGACGGTATCTACCACTGCCTTTAATATTCTTAACAACACAATGAATGGAGTGATCAAGAAAATTTTACGACTCCCTACCAATATTTCGTAAGTCTATTCCTAATTTAACTAATTGCTAAAATTTACATTTGCAGTCTTTTGCTTCTTTTCCAAATATAAATGATATTACCATATTCCAAAGACACACGTTCTCAAAATAAATAGAGACCTCAGCTCCATGACTCCATAGAAAAATTTATTTAGCAAGGACATGCATAATGACAGTATATATGTTTAAATTAATCTTTATAAATTTTCAATATCATGTTACTAATTTTTAGTGATTATTTAGATCTTTAATTGTAATGGTTATGACCATCAAGCGGTACGGCCACAGTACATAAATTTGAGTAATATCCTAGAAAAAACCTCTTTAAAAAATTATCGTTCACTCTTGTTGTCAGGATGCAGACAGGGGAAGCTAGCGGGGGCCTTAGCCCCTGCATGAAAAAAACTGTGATATATATAAATATGTATAAATATTTATAAGTAGTAAAATATATAGTGAAAATTTAAATTTTGGCCCCTGCTATATAAATTCCTTAAGCCCCAGCCTCTGTAACCTGTCACTCCTGGCTCCACCACTGCTTGTCGTGTTGTAATTTGGTCTTGCTCAGCCATAGATTGAAATTCAACGGAATATATCGATCTTGGCCTCACTCCGGCCGTCACCATCCCGGCACTTCCCCCCTTGCTAGTTTGGTGATTCTTTCTCTTTCTAAGAATATTTTTATTTGGACTGAAATTTGTTGGTTTGATCTAGTCTGGTCTGTTTAGGATTAGTCTGATCTAGTCTAGTCTGAACTAGTCTAGTCCGGTCTTTGTATTTTTTATGAAAGTTTGGTGTGGTCTGGTCTGATCTGTTAAACTTTGGTCTGATCTGATATATGAGACTGAAAATAATCCAAGTATAAACATCCTAACATTACAAGCTAAAAATGTCCCTTTTTGCTTTTTAATTTCCACCAATTATAAACAAATTACACACTTAAAGGTGTGAATTGTTTTGCAGTTTACCTGCGACATTAAAAAGGATTATTGTGAATTTTTTCACACTAATGCTATTGTGAATTTCTTGTTTGTGAGAAAAACGTTTTTCTTCACAAAACGCCAGTCAAATTATCTGTACACAGATAATTTGATCGACGTGTAAAATGTTGTGTACAAATGTTGTGTACACGAAGGATAACTGATTTTTCTAACTCTTTAATTTGTACACATATTTTTCTAAATATGGTTGTGTTGTGCTTGTATGTAGGTGGGTAGGGACGTCTCTTCTTGTTTTTAGAAGTATGTCAACCGACTTCATGAAACCAAGAATTGACGAGGTATTGTTTTGAATTGTTTTGTTAGCACTAGTTTAGCATATACTAATAGTATCCGTTTTGTTGTTATTTTTATCGTCTTCAGTATTCACATACTTCTTTTTAAAATAATCACAAAATTTTCATATCAACTCTTCTTATTATATTCCGAATATTTGTGATTCAATATAGTTATTTTAAGATACACTCTTAATATGAAACTTTAACTAATACGGAGTACTCCACTACTCCCTAATAATTTAAATAGAAAATAAAATCCCTTTAACAGCTCATCATTAACCAAAAGGAATATTGAAAATTCATTTCTATTCTTGTAAGTGTGTGGATCACAAAATTAGTTTAATTTGCATATTATCTAAATATCATATTAATGCTAAGACTCGAGAGGAGTATATACGTACTAATCTGGGTTAGAGAAAAAACTTTAACATGCTCCGTTAGGGTAATATTAGGGCGTATAGATGTATCGAAAAAGAATCAAACCATCTAAGAGTCATGACACTAGGAACATATTATTTTAAAATAAATGGTTTTTCTATTACACGGCATTGTTACATCACATTTAGTAAATAAATTTTAAATAATCTCAAATCTTGTTTAATTTGCAGGAGCTTATTAATTTAATTAGTAGTTCTCCGTAAAACTTAATAGTAGTGATATTAAGTTTCTGAGCTCGTGAAATTATTAACAAGAAGCAAATCTTCAACTCTATTATTTATACATGATGCATGCGTGCGTAGTTTCTATTATGAATACTTGATGCATATATTTATATTTATATGTAATAATATATTAATATATATATATATATATTACTCCGTAATATATATAGGTTGATCAACTATTGAGTATACCAGTGGACGTGACTATTTACAATGGACAAGTATGACGCTGACTCCTTGAGTATATATCTCATTCAATTTTTTCGAATTGAAATCGATTATTAATTGTTTTTCATCATATAATTATTAATTTTCAACAAAATATCACGAGTATGTATTTAATTTATATATTTTGATTTTTAATGTAGGTTGATCTCGTCTGTGGCCCTACAGGAACTAAAGCATGGATTCAAAAGCTCAAGTAAACTAAATTATTGGTCGAGGATTGAAAAAAGGAGGGAGAATTCTCCCTTTTTTCATATCCTATTTGTTCCTCTTTTTTTGGGGGCGGGGGCACCCCTGAGGGGGTTGGGGGGTTCACATCCTATTTGTTCTTTAATGTTATTATTATTAACACACTCTACCTTGTCTACACGAATTTTTTAGTACATAGTACTATTAGGATGTACTACCTACGTCCCTTTGATAGGTTCCTGCCATTATTTTCGGATCAACGTAAAATGGACTTATTTTTTATTTTATATATTCAATTTTTATCAAATTTAAGTTTTTCTTTTGTGACTTTATAAAATTTTTAATGTAATATCTGAATATGTACAATTTATTTACTAAAAACATATAATTACGAACATGAATCAGTTAACATTATGATCAGTCCAACATCGTAAACTGTGTGGGAACTTTTCTGTGGGACGGATGGTGTAATTACGTGGACTTATTTGAATCTCAGATCAGACCAAACCAGACTTCGACGGTTGTAAAATACATAAAGACCAGATATTTATCATACCGGACTAGACTAGTTCAAGCCAGAAAAAATTAGAAAATTTCAATCGAAGTAAAAACATTCTTAATATTCTCACTATTATTGTCAAATAATATAACATATTAGCTAGGATCTTTTTAATTGGATTGAAATTTTATGGTCTGTATGTTTAAGTCTGGTTTGATAGATGTCTGGTCTATATGCATTTTATAACTGTCAAAATGTGGTCTAATCTGTTTAAATCTAGTCTGGTCTGGGGCTGAAACCAGTCCAACTAAAAACATAATTAATTGTTAAAGTTGTAAATAGACAAATATGATCAAAATAAAGTTGTTACAACTAAATATGAACATAACTAATTACATGTGGTCTATTTACAGGTGGGAGGGATTGAAACCATTTTTGAACACAAACAGAACTGCACTGTATTGTTGTGGCAATAGCAAAACGAGGGGTTTCTTAAAGTCATACAGGAACTTTCATTTCTATACTATCCTTGGAGCGGGTCACTTCGTAAGTTAATTTACTACGATGGTACAAGCTATAATTAACCTAATTGGTTTCTCTCACTCCTACAACATGAGTTCTTACTTTTGTACTTGATCTGAACTTAATCTGTTTTGTTAAACTAATTAATATAATTTGGCTGTATAATTTGGTCTAGTCTCTCTCTTCGTTTGTATTTTTTCCCATGATTATTAATAAAACTCGGTAAATGTTTCCCGGCATTTACTCCACCGATTTTGGTGGTTTACCTACCGGGTTAAAAATATATTTACATTTCTTCTCACTATGAATTTTTACTTACTTCTAAGGAATTTGACCTATTTGTAAACTAAATTAACGAATGGTCTTATACTCTGTAACATTTACGAAGTATTTGTTATACGGAGTTACGGACTACGGAGTAAACTAAAAACTGTCATGTTTTAAAGCCTAGTCATGTCAAACTCGGCATAAATTTACTCTTATTTAAAGAATAAAAAATATGATAGTCCTATTTTGGAATATCAAAACGTTTTTACTCCTATATAGGGAATTCTCTCTTTAACATACTCCCTCCGTCCCAGTCATTTCTTCCAAGTTTGACATGGCTCGCAAATTTAGAAGGTGGGAATAAAGTGAAAATATATGGTTGTAGTTGTGTAAGAAAAAAATGAATGAATGTGAACCACATGTTTTTTCCAAAAGTAAAGTTGGAAGAATTAAATGGGATGCCCAAAAAGGAAAGTTGGAAGAAATCACCGGGATGGAGGAAGTATTTATTACCTCCGTCCCACTAACATTGGGAGAAAATGAGATGACACAGTTATTAAGAAAAATACGTTTATGTCGTTGATATTAAATTTGATAAAGTAAGAATAAAGTAAGAATTTAAAGCCACACATATTTTATCAAATTTGATATGAGACAATCTTAACGGGATGGAGACAGTATAACCGGCCGCAATAAAATGAAAAGAGACTAGCCGGATTAATATATACTCCGTAGTATTTAAAATTAGAATGAAATGGTAGATTTATTAGTTCGGGAATTAAAATGATATGATGGATGGTAGTAATTCATGACCATTTAATTATGTTTTTTATAAAAAAAAAACATAGTAAAAACTACAAAGTTGCAGTGAGCATTTAGAATATGAGAGTTGGTGTCTTATTGATTGTCTTCTCCACTCTCCAAATATGGTTTTCATTATAATGGACTTTTGTGCACTGGTGCAGGTTCCAGCGGACCAGCCAGACATAACATTAGAGATGGTGGGTAACATCACAAAGTCACCTAGCACTTCCAACTGAACTGCAAAACTTGAAAATTACTGTAATATATACGGGCATCTTGTAAAATAATACAAAATCACGTTCTCAAACATGTACTAGTATACTCGTATCATTTTGATACTCCGTATTAAATAGAAGTATATCACTTGTCATTACAATGAAAATCATATTATTTGCATCATCCATTGGGAATCAAAGCATAAAGCATATGCACACACTAGATATATGTATGCACAATTAATACTAAATCATAGCTTAGTACTTCGCATTAAAAAACATAAGTAAAATCATTACTTGAGCATCATTTTTTGAGAACAAACACAAAATAGTTTGGTCCCATTTGGTTCAAGGAATATCAGATTACTTTGAGAATGTTAGATTATTGGGTATGCTAGATTGATAGGAATGTGTTCAATTATAACTCATTGTGTTTGGTTATTACTAAGGGAATATCACATTAATTTGTTTGGTTGAATGATATCTTATACTACAGATTTGGTGATTTACTTCAATGCTTTTTAAACATTTTCTCTTAACACAATAAATTTATTTGTGAGAGAGCCTTGTGTGAGAGCCTCCTTAAGTGATGAGAGAGAGAGCCTTGAGCTGGAGAGAGCTCTTAACCAAGTGAGTGCCTCTTTGAGAGAGGAGAGTGAGAGTGAAGTAGTCCCACATACACAAAGAGTGATGTGAGCTACCCATTTACTTGTAAGTTCTTTTGTACACTTTAATTGTATAATACAAAGTGTTATTGTCAGATGGGGCTTTTGTATTATGAGTGTATGGATGAGTGCACAAAAGTCCTTTGAGCTGGTGATCCTGAAAGACGTCGGGAACGTGTTTCCCACAAAAATTGAGACTCCCACCATGGAGTTTGAACTCAAGACCTGTCTTACAGGAGAGTGAGATGACAATAAGTTGAGCTGAATCACTTCCTCAGATATATCCAAAAGTTATGAGACTAAATATATAGTTTTCTAGTTATAGAATAACCTGCTAGATCATATACATCATTGACTTAAAAGTTCACTAAACCAAAGGGAAGTTCTAAAATTGATAAAAATAATGTAGACATGAGATATCAATTGCTATTGACTTTTAATATATAATACTCCATAATAATATTGTCATGTCACCATCAATTAATGTTCTCCTCATTTTGAATAGTATTTTTCTGGTGAAAACTCAATGTTCATTAAGTCATGATTTGGGATGGAACGCACCCGGTGTCTTTCTACCAAAGTGTCATCTTTATTATGGACAAAATGCATTTCCCTAGCCTTATTTGCACTTTAATTTGCATGAGGTTATAAATTAGTAGTGATAGCCATTATATTTACTTGTGTTTAACATAAATATTTAAAAGTAAAATTTTTAAGAAAAGAAGAGAAATTGGGAAAATATCTTGAGAATGAGAGTTAAATCATAAAACATTGCGATGAAGAGCTTTTTGGACTAAGAGGATGACGTTTTGCCCATAATTCGAGTATAACTTATTGTAGAGAACTTGAAATCACTCGATTCAAATTTCATGTGAATGTTAACTCAATAAGGTACAAATATTATGAAGACGTCATGGCCAGAATATGAAAGTAACAAGACTCAATCAACAAATAAAGTCAGATGTTGATGGTGGAATTTCAGGATGCATATCTCTCAGTGTTTTCTGCATAAGTTTTGATTGGATGACTAACACATCATTAAAGTTTTGGTGGATAGAAGACTTCATTATCTACAACTTTGGTGAAGGAATCATGTCCAAATTCATAACGGAACATCCACAAAATCCCGGTACAAAGACCGACACTTTTTGATCCATTTCGGAGGAAGAGCGCTGGTCAGTCTACAACCGGCGCTAGTCGGAAGGTTTTTTCGCACAAACAAGCCTGTTTTCGATCTGGGCCGATCATCTGACCAATCGGCGCCAGTTGGGGCGATTCCTGCTTAAACACAACGACGTGCAAGGGGATTTTTTATGGGAAAACTTTATCTTCCTCATTTCTTGATCAAATATTAATCCATACCTGATTGTTGGGATCGAATAGACACTAAAGGATGCCATTCTTTTGCCTATATAAAGCCCTCAATTCATTAAACAAAAACATTCCATTCCACACTTTAATTCCTAGCTTTTATGTTTTGTTCTTGCTATTGTTCTTCAAGTTCTTGAGGAGGGAAGTTCAGCCTACTAAATAATTGGAGTTTAGGTATTATTTCTTTTGTAATTTCACGTTCCATTACGTTTCATTATTGTATTTTGATTAAAATGAGCATTAGTAGCTAATCTCTTATTAGCTAAGGCTAGGGATAAAAAAAAGGCTAGGGATGAACTTCTATGCTCACTAGGTGTTTGATAAAAGTTTTAAACCAATAAATTGTGATTTATCCTTTATATATTGATTGTTTATGACTATGGTGTACAACATAGAAGTATGTTAAATTTAGTATATACTTGCAATTAACGTTGAAGTCGAAACTATGAACATTAAAGGATAAACATATATAGTACCGAGAATAGAAATATATCCGGTCTTATATGATACGGGTGTGATGTCTTGATATTCAACGAGGTTTTCGGTAGATGAATGTATGCCGTAACGGGACTTACACGTAACAAAAATCACGCTCTCGCTGCCTTAACCGGAGTCAAGAATATATTAGCGACATGCCGACATCGTATTCATAATTATTGGCAAAGAACTAATATTCAACCCTATTAAAGCATTTAAGTGATTCCCAAATCCTTAGTTGTTGTTATCATTTTATCTTAAACTGAAAATTATTAATGATCATCTTCTTAAACAAAAAGTGAAAAGCCAAAAATATAAAACACAAATCAAAATTCCTACACTTTACTCATTTATTCATTTAAAGTCATCTACTCTCGGACTAAATTAAACAACATTTCCTTGTGGATTCGACCCAAAATTTTACCGAAAATTATTACTATATCGACACTTGTACACTTGCAAGTAGTAACACATAATTTGTGAAGACATGATGTATGTGTGCATAGTTTCTAATCTGAACTTTATACATATGTTTATATTAATATTAATATATAAAGGTTTGTCTCTTTTATATATATATATATATATATATATATATATATATGTGTGTGTGTGTGTGTGTGTGTGTGTGTGTGTGTGTGTGTGTGTGTGTGTGTGTGTGTTGATCAACTATTGGGTAATAAAGAAGTCGACGTGACTATTTACAATGGACAAGTATGACGCTGACTCACTACAAAAAAATTCGCCTGTAGTCACGGACCGTAGTCACGGTTCTAATCACGGTGTAGTCACGGAATCGTAAAAAAAAAGTAGTCACGGATTTGTCCGTGACTAGAGGTAGTGACGGACCTAGTCCGTGACTAAAGTGTTCCGGCCAACCCATTTTCGCCTCCGGCGGGATTTTTTTTAAATTTGAAATTAGTCACGGACAAATCCGTGACTAGTACCGTGACTGCAATTAGTCACGGACGTGTCCGTGACTAATTCCGTGACAAGTGCAAAAATTGATTTTTTCAACGTTCCAAATTTAAAGTGCACCGACAATTCGTACAAAAACAAGTAGTCACGGACATATCCGTGACTACGTCCGTGACTACAAAATTTATATATGCAGCCTCGGCTTCCTTCAACAAAATCACACCTTCTACGTACTCCAGATAGAATTCCAGATAGAATTGAAGGATTTAATCTACCCATCTCATATCATTTTTCCTGTTTTTGCAGATAAGGTATGTAATTTGAATTACGTATTTTTGTAAATTAGTTAAATATGTAAATTTGTTAATAAATACATATGTAAGTATATATATTATTAAATATAATATTGGCAATACATATGTTATTAATTTTAAAATATAGGATTAAAATTATGTAAATTAGTTAAATACGTATGTAAGTATATATGATTAAATATAATTTAAATGCATATTATTAATATTAGTTAATAAATGTAAGTATTATTTAATTCATCAAATGACTTTACATATATATATATATATGTATATGATTAAATATAAGTATATGATTTCTTTATATTGGCAATTATTGTTAATTAAGGCGGCCTAATTTAGGATTAATAATGATTTAAATCAGGGTTAGTTAATTTAATTTAAATGTGTTTATTATATATATATATGCTCAAATTATTGAATTTGCTCATATTATTTAATTTAGTACGTAAATTGTTAAATGTGCATTATTAATAAGATTAAGATGTTGATAATTTTAGTATTGTGGATTAAATTAATGTCATTAACGTATTGTGCATGTTTATAGTTTAATAATATTAATTATTAGACGTTAGTTAATTTTAATGGGATTTTAGTGAATTTTAGTGAATTTTAGTGAAATTTTAGGCAATTAGTTAATTTTAAGGGAATTAGTTAATTTTAAGGGAACTTTTGGGAATTAGTTAATTTTAAGTGAATTTTAGTGAAATTTAAGGAAAGTAGTTAATTTTAAGGGAATTTTAGGGAATTAGTTAATTTTAAGTGAATTTTAGTGAAATTTAAGGAAACTAGTTAATTTTAGGGAATTTTAGGGAATTAGTTAATTTTAAGGAAATTTTAGTGAAATTTAGTGAAATTTAAGGGAATTAGTTAATTTTAGGGAATTAGTTAATTTTAAGGGAATTTTAGTGAATTTTAGTGAAATTTAAGGAAACTAGTTAATTTTAAGGGAATTAATTAATTTTAACGGAATTATTTAATTTTAAGGGAATTTTAGGGAATTAGTTAATTTTAAGGGAATTTTAGTGAAATTTAGTGAAATTTACGGGAATTAGTTAATTTTAAGGGAATTTTAGGGAATTAGTTAATTTTAAGGGAATTTAAGTGAATTTTAGTGAAATTTAAGGAAACTAGTTAATTTTAAGGGAATTAGTTAATTTTAAGGGAATTATTTAATTTTAAGGGAATTTTAGGGAATTAGTTAATTTTAAGGGAATTTTATTGAAATTTAGCGAAATTTACGGGAATTAGTTAATTTTAAGGGAATTTTAGGGAATTAGTTAATTTTAAGGGAATTTTAGTGAATTTTAGTGAAATTTAAGGAAACTAGTTAATTTTAAGGGAATTAGTTAATTTTAAGGGAATTATTTAATTTTAAGGGAATTTTAGTGAATTTTAGTGAATTTTAGTGAA